CCACCGTCTCCAAGAGCCTAATCCAAGTGCCCACCCTCAGCCACAGGGACTGTGGGCATCTTGCTCCTGCCCACGCCGCCGGCTTGCACGGCATAGCTTTCACTCCAGCCAGATCATACGTTGCATTCCAACCCTTTCCTTAGTTCTTCCTCCTGGAGAGGGCCTGAGCCCCCAGCCCCAGCCCCACCTTCTTCACCTGGACCACTCTTCCACCTCCAAGGTTCCATTCAGAGGCCTTGACCTTTGAGAAGTTCTTTATAAGCATCCATGCTTGCCTTGAGAACACCCCTTCTCCATTATACTGTCACCTCCTGTCTATTCGTCCCCCATCATCCCAAGGGGTGCTTGAGGTCGTTTTCTCAGCGCAATGGAGGTTCACAGTGGGTGATTCATGAACCCTTGAATGTTTTGCAGATATGATGTATTAGTGTTGGAGAGGCATGTCACATGACATAGATTAATTAACGAGGAGACACTATGGGAAATTTTTACAAAGTCAAATGTCAACAAGAGTCACCACCATCTCACTGAGGCTGCAAGGAGAGGGGGGCAGTCTGCATTCTAGCGGAGGACCCTTCCTCTCCTGGGGCTACCGCTTTTCACAGGGCAAGCCAGGGAAAGCAGCCTTGTCAATGAAGGAGTAGCAGGCTGCTCAGTGCCAGGCAGTCTGGATTGGGGGGTGCCAGCTATGTACAGGCGTTATCTGGGAAATCCAGACAACTGCTCAGCACATGAGGACCTCGGAGCCTTTGGGAGGGGACTCCCTGCCAGGGGAGAAGGGAGTCTGAGTCTGGGTGCAACCTTCCCCATAAGCTCATTTTACAGACAACCCAAAGGGAATTCCAGGGCCACTTTTGGGGAGCCCCACTGGTTGCCCCACACTCACGGGGCACCAAATGCCAGCCTGCCTGCATGGGTGCAAGATGGTAGTGTGCGCACCATGTACACATGCAGGAAAGCACTTGACCCCGTTGGGCAGCCTCCCCAGACTGCTCTCCTTTCCCTGGTCTGCCTTTCTCCTACCAGCTCCCACTCTGTAAATTTCCACAGAGGTTGCCCGGGTACAGAAGGAGGTGTCCCTGTCATCTGGTGCTAAAAATGAAAGTTCTGAACCAGCGTGGGGTGGGGGAGGGTGACGAGACTGGGGCTGAGCGGCTGTTTGACAACTCCTTCCCTCCCACCTTCCACAACTCACTCCTCCGAGGTTGGGTCCTCTGTCACGTGTCACCACTTTCCACACAGCCCCGGGGGATAAGTTGACCTAGTATCACCTCTTGTTCCAAGATCAGAGACTCCCACCTGCCCTGTATGCCCTTGGGCCCCACCAAAACAGCCACGCCCATAGACCTGCGTGTTGGTGCTGCCCTGCGTCGGAGTTTGCCTCTGCTGGCTGAGTCTGACTCAGTCCCCTTCCCCTTCCTCGCCACGGTTTCTTCCTGGTTCATTCCATCATCATCAGATGGACCAAACACCCCTACCCCTCC